TCCAATTCTCTTTCAAATAACATCTGTGGCAAACAGGCTTTTTAACACAAAATTCGAGTCAATTGGTGATGGAAATAAAATGAACCCATACAAATTTTTCAAATAAATGAACCAAAATTGGTGATTCAAATAAAATGAACACATACATTATTATATTTGGTGCTGCAAATGCAATTAACCATCCCTAGTCAAATAAGTGAACCATACTCTGCAACATAATTACCTAGCTGTTCTTGCAGGATAATGGCTCCGTTGTTGGGTTAGCGATGGTTGACTAGCGAGATGAAGACTCCGGTGTTTGAGTTAGCGGCGGTCAACATGCGGGATGAAGAGGTCAGCCTAGATTCGAGCTGAATAACTTGGAATGCTTGCGATCCCGACCATTTTTCTTTTATAGGTTAAGATATCGGCCTAGAGTCGTATGGGTGGTTCGCCGGCGAGGAGAGTTGTGACGACCGGAATCTGACTTCGCTAATTTAGGGATATTCTGAGTTTGGGGATAAAATGCCACAACCACAACCTTTCCTTTCTTTTTAGACCATTATTATCCCCTTTTATTTCTCTTTCGTACACGTGTACTATTTTTTTACTATTTTTAATTGCATGTGTTAAATCTGTTCAAATGAGTCTGGTCAAATAGCTTTTTCCTTTAAGAAAATGATCTTTATGCCTTGAACAACAAGAAAGAAGGGCAAGCACATTTTTATAAAAGAGAGGGGATGGTTTCTTTATGGTAATTGCATAAATTCTTGGTAACCTGTGTGTCTTCGAGAGATTGAAGACATTGATTTTGAATGTACAAAATAGATTAAGTCCTTGTTTGGTAGGGAATAAAATCATATTATTGGTAGATGTTGATAAAAGCTGATAATATTGTAATTGAAAAGTTGTGGATTCCAAAAAATATGTGGTTAAAATAATTTTTGACTTTGACTTAAATCAACATCTGGATTTCAATTTCCACCAAATATGAGCTAAATATAGAGGCGATATTTTGACATAAAAGTAAGAACTATATTTTTATTCCGATTTGTGGAAGATTTTGAGTACATTAGTAGGAGTGGCATAAAACTAAAATTTATGGATTTGGTCTCATTCATCTATAATTCGCAAGGACAAAAAACAAATGAAGTTTGCTTAATTGATTTTAGATATATTTTTACTTATGATTTTATGGTGTAATTTCAAAACAAATTGAGACGTTTGTATCCTGTCTATTATAATGAATGATTTATCCATGATATGGGAACTGTTTCCCCTATGCTTGCTAGGGCTTTTCTCACTAGTTCTGACCTTTTTTTAGTGACACAGTCAATGAAAAGTTTGGATAATCAATGCTTGTTAAGTAGTTGTAAGTGACCATTCGTGGATGGGTACAACGTGGTTAATATAGTGCGATATTGTGTTTGTTGACCTTTGGTTTACTTTTTCTGTAGTATTTTCATCATAACAATAAAATAATATATTTTCTAACAATCAATTTTGAGTAGTTATAGTTTTTCAAAGCATTCAATGTAAAATTGATCGAGTGGACATAAAGCTACATTATCAATCGGACTCGCAACGAAGGTCAAAATGAAAATCGAGCATTCAAATCAAATTATTCAAAACAAGAACTACAAATTCAAACGTCAAAGGAAGCTTATTAGATTAGATGCTCATTTATTTATTTGTAAAGGTATAACAACTTCAATTCTTAACAATAAATGGTAAAAGCTAAAAATCATTTTTGTGTACTAAAAGTTATTTTGTTCATCACTTGTAAAAAATATCTTTTATCAAAAGCAAAAATTGATTTTCAAAATTATAATTGAACTTAGACCATATTTTAAAAAATACCATTCAATAGCTTACATTGTTCAAAACATTCACACCGGATCAAACAAAGCCAAAATGGACAAAACTTATGAAATGCAGACGTCTGGTTCAAGTAGTGAACTTTCGCTACATCCGAACGTCCGATTCGTGTAACAGTCACTTTTTTGACAATTCTGATTTTTTGATATCTTAGTCACACTAGAACATTAGGTTTTTGGTATCCAAAGAGCACCTACATTGATTTTAGCTATCCGGATTTCGTTTGGCCCGGTTGTACAATTGATCGTAAAAGCACTAGCAAAACATGTCATTTTTCTAGGCTTTGCACTTGTATCGTGATTTAGTAAGAAACAAATTTTTTTTTTATTATCCATCGCTGAAACAGTATATATATCGGGCGCTAGTTGTTGTGCACAAGTTTTGTGAATGAAGCAAACTTTTAGTAATTATCACTTATCATTTGATTATATACATATAGTGTGTGATAACACTATTGCCATAAATTTATCTAAAAGTTCCGTCTTGCATTCTCGAACCAAATACATTAAAATTAGACACCACTTTTTGAGACATCATGCACAAAAGGGGGGGTGTTATATTAGAATTTGCAAATACGGAAAATCAATTTGTCGATATTCTCACTAAACCTATAGCGCTTGATAGAATTTTTCACATTCGAAGAGGTTTGAGAATTATTGATGAATTTAATTGTATATGTATTTAATTGATCATGAAATTGTTGATTTTATGTGCAATGCTTGTTAATACCATAAAAAAAAAGGAATGTGGACGTCTGAATTGTGAAGGTTTTGACCATATAATGCCGATAGAATGGTAGACATCAGGATACTTGCATCCAGATTGGCAGAAAAATTCCAGCTACTTATAGTGGACGTCCGGAAGATCGTGGACTCAGAATTTTAAAAAGATTTTACAGACATTTCTTCTTCGTTTCTTCCCTCTCTTCTCTCTCACCGCGTGTGTCCACCTCAAATCCACCACATTCCCTTCATCAATTATCAAAACACTTGCTCAAAAATCACAAGCCCATTACTCACTCACACTATTTCTTCAAAATCCCTAATTCCTCCCATTAAAACCCTCAAACTCACTCCATTTGGGATTATACAAACCCTAAGTCCGAAATATTGATATCCATTTTCTTCAAACCCAACATGTATCATGTCAAGTCAAAGAGGAACGAGCAAGAGAATGAAAAGAACCGTGAGGCGGCCTCCTCTTTCCTTCTCCTTTGATGAAGAACCTGAGGTGCTTGAAAATCCATTTGAAAAATCACATTCTCATTGATAAGAACGTTGATTTTGCCTATTTTGCCATTCAATCACATGCATTTCATATTGAAGAATATTTTGAAAATATAGGCAAGGTGTCGGTGGCCACTTTGCAAGAAAACGCATATCCTTCACTCGTGAAAGATTTTTATAAAAGCAAGGTTGTCACTCCTAGGGCGGATGAGATTTTATGTTTACTTAAAAACATAGGGATTAACATCACCAAAAATTGTATCCAAACTATCCTTGAGCTATGAAAACCAGATTTTTCTACACAAAAGCTCATCCTTCTCTCGAAGAATATAGTTCTATTGAGGCTTGTCGTAGAGTTACAGGAAAGAACATTGAAAATACCATCAAACTTAAGTACAAATCAACTCGTTCTACCTTGCAAAGTTTTACAAAAATATCATTGTCCACGTTATTCTTCCACGAAAGGGTCACCGGAAGAAGTCAATAATTTCAATCTCTTTATTCTTGATTCCCTTTTAGACTGATGGAAATTAGGTTTTCCAACTATTGCACTTGGTGACATGAAACTTGTTCATTCCACAAGACATGAAAGCGGACGTCTAGATCCTTGTCCGGTTTCACAAATTTTCTTGTTCCTTTTAACTTTTTAAATATATTCACTTTTTGCATTCATTATAACATTTTTTAAGAGCATTAAAGTGAGATATTTTTAAGCAAGAAATATGCTACGTGAATTCCTACATCTTATTTGTTTCATCAAATTATTTATTGTATAAATTTTTTTATTGATTGAATAAACTTTTAAAAATCATCTTTGTCATTAAAGTTTTTCTCATTTAACACTTGAGTTTCATTTATTACTATTCATTGGACTGTTAGCATCTCTTGATACTTATTCATTTGTATTATTTATTAAGAAAGAGATACAAATTGTAAAAATATTCTTCAAACTTGTTGATCGTATTGAGGTCTGGTAAAACTCAATATTGTATAAGGACGGTACTGCTTATTTGTAAATCATCGAAGTTTTGTAAGAGTTTTAGATTACATCACAAATCAATCATTATAATTAAAAGGCATTGCTCGTGATGGAAAGCTCGATAACAAAGCTTGTAGATCATTGTGTTGATCAAACATCCACAATTATATCATTTGCATTCTTTCTCCCATTTTATTTATTGCTTTAATACTTGCATTAATTCATTTATTCTAACTTGCTTGAATTTAAATTAATTCTTTTGAAAATGTTTTGCATTATTTAAAAAGAAAAAATCTTTAAAAATCTTGTGTCACATCGAGAGATATTATTGCTAATCTTAAATTAATCCATTATTTAAAAAGAAAAAATCCTAATAAAGAAAATATCTATCGTCAACAGTCAAAGGAGGGTATTATTTTTTTAGTTTCACCCTTGTTTTAGAGATTGAAAATCAGATTCTTCTTACCACTTGAATTAAATTTTGATCCCTCCAATTATTGAATTATGGTTGTAAAATAAAAATGTGAAAAGTAGATATCATAAAGGGATAATTTCACTAATGATATCTAAATTTTGCAATTAGTGCCATCTAAGCCACATAATAATAACATTTGTTTCAAATTTATCACTGAGATATGTTTCAGTTAGTTTGGCATTCATTTACTAACAAAAACTTCTACTTGATTAACGATTTGCGCTGCTAAGAAGATGTATACGCCCTTGTTTGATGTCCATTAAAATTGATTTTTTAATAAAATGTGTGGTTAAAATGATTTCTAATCCGATGAAATATGTAATTAAAATTTAAAATTAATTGTTAATTTTAACTTAAATTAAATTAAAATCAGAATTTTAATCCTACTAAACATTTCATCCAAAAACACATTATTCAATTAACCACAAAATCCAAAAGTGAAAACAAGAAAAAATATACAAATTTAGGAAGAAATAATTGAATCTTGGTTGGTGGGGTCCACATCAACCCTACTTCCACTATCATCTGCGTGATCATCTCCATGAATTTGATCAAGCACCAACACCAATCCCATAGCAAAAGCGCAATCGAACCCAGGCCTGATTGAAACCGAAAAAACGTCTTTTCCAAGAACGACATTGGCGAAAGAATCCACTTTGCGTCGGATCTCCGCCACCGCCTCCTTTTTGGCGTTGAAAATGGTGCAGCTCCGGTTCGCGAAGGAGCCTTCTATCTGGTACCCTTCAGATGAAATGTTGTACACCTCCACCGTCACGCCCGACCGTCGAATTATAGATGATCTGCGTACGCTGAATAATGGCTTCTTACCCTCGATCCTCTCGCCGATGAAGCCTTCCCACCTCCGATGTAGACTCGGCCTCTGTGACAAAAGAAAGAGCAGAATTACGTATCTTTATTGGGTTGACTCGGATGAATTGAAAGAATTTATTATTTTGGATTGTTTGTGCGAAATTCTGTTTTCCATATGAAACCAGTTGAGAGAAGCAGCTACTGATATGTTTCTAATGAAGATTTTTTAAGTTTTTGAACTATTTTCAGGAATCATCCCTTTGATTGTGTAATTTTAACCACGAGTTAACTCAATCACAATTTTAGGAAGAATTTAACGCAAAACTTGGAAGAATTCACCCAATGAAACGGTCAAATCGGGCTAAAAACAATAAGCGTTTACAAGAATGCTCATCACATAAGCCGCAAGAATCTTGACTCTCTGAGTTGACTCACTTATACCAGCAGGAGATGAATTTTATACATACCTTGCGGCGGACGGTAAGAAGGCATCGGCCAGACGCGTCCATGAGAACGTGTTCACCCAGGTCTCGAGAATCGGGGCCGTACGAGTCGACTCGGAAGACAAGTTCGCCTTTGGAATCGTAAGCAGTGAAGCCACTACCAGCACAAAACACCGAGGTCTTCATTACAGTGAGATGGGTTTCTTCTTCATAAACAAACCCTTCTTCTACAATCACTCCACTTTTCATCTTTTCCGTTTTTTTCCTTTTTTTATTTTTCCCCTGAGGAGAATGAAAGAGGAAACGGGAAAAGAAAAAGAGGGTCAGTGATTACATTCGTAGCTTCATTGATTATAAAATGTGGCGAGAAAGTGAATTTAAAATAAATTCATTTTTGAAACATTTAAATATATTATTTTCTAATCTAACTTTTTAAAAAAATTTACCATAGTTTTAAAAAGTAAATACGTCGGTGAAATCTACAGCCTGATAAGTATGAAACCACGTCAGATTAGATAGTAAAAAAAATAGTATAAAATTATAATAAA